AAAAATATTTTGGGGGTGCTTAACTTTTTTTCCAGGTGTATATATATATATATATACACACAATCATAATGACCATCCTATATCACAATTAACTTGTGGCTTAAATTTCAAAATAGTTAAAGTTTTTTTTATATTTATGGTACAAAAAGTTAAGTGCCTGTAGTAAGGATTTCTATTTGTAAAGGGCAGTCAGATGTTGGTCTTTCATGTTTTTCTGTATAATGGCACCTTTGTTGAGTTGATTTAAGGCTTATATGTGTTCAACAAAATTGTAGTATAATGCACGAGTTCAATTTACTTTATAAATATGATTTTATTGTGCTTTTATCTCCTACTCCTGCATCTTTGGTGAAGTGTTTCTTTTTCTGGATTTTATGCAGAATATGTATTTGATTTAAAGGTCTTTCAGGTTTTTATCCAAGTCTTTTTGGTAATCCTGACCTTTTTATCACTGATATTAAGTCTCATTTAAGTCTGTCACTAATATATATGGGATAGTCCAACTTGCAAAGTTGTTTTTCATCCTGTTTACTTATAGTGAAAGTTTCCATTTTAATTTTCTTTGAAGCACTTTTGAATGGATCAGAGATAAACTGAGAAACCATTCAATTTAAGCATATGTTGTAGATTTGTCAGCCTCTTGAGTTTGCTTTGTTTAGAAGTACAAACATCTTCACAACTTGTCCTGTGAAAGCTATTTTTTCACATGATGGTGATATGAATATGAGTGTAGGAGAATCAGTATGGAAGAGAGCTTTTTCTATACACTTGTTATAAGTTTGCAAAGAAGACATCTAGGAATCTGATTTGGCTGCTTCTTGCCAAGTGTTCTAGAGTAAAAGTTATATTTGTATGTAAGCTGTGAAACATTTCCAATCTGTGTAAGGAGGAAAGCTGAATACCAAATATATCATCTATATATCTTAACCACAACACAGGTTTTTACCTTTGGTTTGGATCCATATTTACGGAGAAGAAAAAAGAAGTCGCTATGGGAAACAAAACTACGGTAGTTTTTGCTATAATGTTCATGCACATGTTAGAAAATAAATTAACTTAATAAGGTAGCTATACGAATTACTAATTATCATGCCCCGATCATCCCAACTGAAGTGTGGGGAGATTTGCAAGATCAGATGATGCATGAAACTTACCACTTCTGATATAGTTAAAAGTACAGGACTTCCTCATATAAATGTCTCCATTTTTGACTATAACAGAAATCAAGGCACAATATTTTAGCATTTCAGAGAAAGAGATACCTTTAGTGTTGAATCTTATTGTTTACACAATACTACTCAATAACAGACTACCAGCCAGACACACTGGAGGTAGTTAAGAAAGCTTAAGAACTTGTTGCTGGAAGTAATGCAAAAATGACATAAGAGCCTTGTTCACAAGCTTCTGATTAAGTACAAAGCTGACGGTACAAGCAAGTATTAAAAGATACAAAATCAACATCTGGCATGTGACACAAGTTTGTTATCACTTGTGATGTACTATATGTCATGCCTACTTAAGTGTCTACAAAAGTCCATGCTATATATTATTGTCATGCTAGTGATGTATCAATCTAATAAAACTTATTCCTTTTCAGTCTAGCCATTTTTCTCTCTACATTCAATACTTATCACTGAAAGTTTATCAGCAATATCAAATACTATACAAAAATGCAAGAAGAACATGAATCTTTTTTGGTATCTCTGCGAACGTTTTAGAATTACACCTTCGCTTTATTCTGAGTAATTCTAAGTTCAACAAAAAGATTGTAAACAGCCTCAGTATGATTGTCTGACAGATCAGGTGATCAATATCATCTGTGAGTAATTGTCTTTTCCACTTCTTATTGTACAATGTTGACTTTGAAAATACACAGTGAAGTATGGTAAAACGAGTACATGTAAAAATATAGATAGAACTTGGCTTATCTATCATTCAGTAAGTTTTAAGAATTGAGCTTTGTATGGCAGTACTGTGTTCAACAATTAATAGAAAGATTGTTAAATAATCTTTGTTAGATGCATGTTGGACCACGTATTTATGCTAAACTGGAAGCAGTCACCATGAATATGATCATTCCCTGTAGATAATATTGTCCTACTAACAATAGAGGAATTACTTGACAGTAAATTCCATTTACAGTAATGAGTCACTGTCATGATTAGTAGCATATATAATCACCTAAATCTAATTATTAATTAGTTAGTTTTTATTTTTTATTTTTTCAAGACACT